GGTGGGGCTGGGTGGAGAGGGGAGGGTGGGGAGGGGAGGGGCTGGGTGGGGAGGGTGGGGAGGGGCTGGGTGGGGGGTGGGAGGGGTGGGGTTGGGTGGGGAGGGGCTGGTCACCCCGTGGTGCCCTTATAAAACTCAACGTTTAACCTACTCACGCCGGCTTGTGCCCGCCCTCACAGTCGGGCATATTTGCGGAATACACCACGCCGCCGTTGACCCTGGCCATTGACCGAGCAACCCAACGTTCCTACCAGCTCCCTCCGCAGGAATGTGTTTTAAGTCCGCGATAGGGGCCGTCCATAAATGACGTCACGCACCTGAGGGGGGGGGGAGTCAGACATTTGTGACGATCAGTTTAACACGTAGGCTCTCATTAACCTGATGAGTTAATGAGTTAATGATGACGTCACCCTGCTGCTGCTCTATATAAGAACGGGAGACACAGGAGAACCTCACCATTCTGGCGAATTGCCCGATGATGCTGGTTGCAATTACCAGCGAAACGTCGTACTCAAATTGTAAATGTTGTGGCTTCAACACACCGGTGGGCTAAAGCAGTGAACTATTTGTCTTTGTCAACGTGACACATTTTTACTGATTGGCCGTGTCGGGTGGTGGAGGGTTACGACACATTTATAAATAAACGCGATCTAAACCCAAAAACGTTGATTATGAATTTGTGACGATGTGTGACGAGGGGGGTTTGAGAAATGTGACGTCACATAAAAATGCGCAACTTTAAATAAAGATAGACAACACGTTCTACTTAATTAAATAGACTTTTTAATAAATATTCTTGGTTCTTTCGGTAAAAAAATATAAAACAATAAAATGAATTGTTTTATATTTTTATTCTTTTATTGTTTCCCTTCTACGTGATTTTACCTAAAGAACCAAGAATATGAATCCCTGCTGTCACGAAAGCTTTAAATAATTTTTTTAATAAATGTGTTCTCCTACAACATCAGAGTGCAGCGCCACATTAAATACGCACTACAATGACAATAGTTTAAAGCGATTTGAAGCATGTTTTATTTTTGGAGGGAGGGGGACAGAGCTTTGTGACGTCATATTTGAGGGGGGGGGTCTGACTTTTTGTGACGTCGTGTGACGAAGCGGGGGGGGGGGTCAAAAATCGTCCAAAATCGCGTGACGTCATTTATGGACGGCCCCTACGTAATGCAGCGAGATGAATTGCGGTGCTGTATTTCTCTGATCCCACGGTCCTGCTTTGGCCAACCCACACGAACCGGTCGCCGGGTTCGTAGCGCTGGACCGCTACACTACCGCTCCCCATCAAATACAAGCTCGCACAAAGACAAAGATCCCCCGCGTAGCCTTAACAGACTGTCGGGGCAAGTGCTGTTAAGCGAGCACCTATTGAAGATTCTAGATTTGAAGCTTTCGTGACTGCAAAGATTCATACGCTTAGGTTTTTTCGGAAAAGTCACGTAGGTCAAAAAAGTAATAATAATAAAATAATAATAAATGAAAATAACTTTATTAAATCACGACCTATTGAAGGCCGGCACGGCACACGAGGGGGTGGGTTGGCCAGGACCACGCGCGGCCGCCTTTGTCTCCCCAGTGGCGATGTTTTTTCACCCCCAGGTACTCATTTGAGGCTGAGTCAACTTAGAGGGAGGACCCAGGACCGGTTCAGATAATCGTCACTGGTGTTGGCCGTGAGCTACACTACCGCTCCCCATCATACATAGCACGCGCACACACGCCACGGAAAGCCCTTTAGCTAGTACGAAACTTGTAAACGCGTATATATTTTAATGACCCTATGTGACCTCGTGTGTTCATGCCTGGTATCAAGACAACTTTGCATATTGCTAATATAATTTTAAACTACCCACAAATGCGTTGGTCAGAATTATTTGAACATAAGAGCACCAACTTTTAAAAGTTACTTTAGTTTGAAGCTCGTCCGTCTATTTAGGTGAAGCACATGCTATGACCACAACTCCATTGTTTGGGTTCACCATACAGCCTTGTGGGCAAACGCACTTTTTCGTGTAAGTTTACATTCAATCAATTTAAAGTGTTTTGGCACTCCACTGCTGGATGAAGCCCTGCTTTAACGCCGTATATCGTCGAATTTGATTATTTTAACCGGTTCTGATGTTAACCGGTTTTGATAACTGTGGCAGGTGATTGAAAACTGGGAGCTGGGTTAACGTGCAGTACGCTCACCATTGCGCCACCGCTCCCCACATAAGATGTACGTACTATCGTTTACATAGCCAAACGTATTTACCCAGTGTTCTCAAGCTTATGCAATGTTTTATTTTATATGTATTATTTGTAGTTCACACATGTTACAAGTAAGATCTGTAACGTTTCACTTGGCATACTTCTTAGAGAAAGCTATTTGCTCGTGCGCTATTTTAACGATAGGCTAGGGGTTACGTTGGTATGGTGTGACTTAAGGCATAATACAGTACTGTACATGGATCCTAAGAACGACAATACTTTTCGGAATGTGCACAATGCGTACTTATTCGCCTCGAGTTATATACGCCTGCAATTGTCTAAGAAGATAAAGCAGTTGAACCTGTACAGCTGAAGAATACAGAGCAGTACATCTCTTTGAGTTACGACAACATGTCCTCACTCACCAGTTCAGAGTTTATAATTTTCCCTGAATCATAGCTCATTACTGGAAATGCAAAGCGATGTAATATGCAGTACTTCGTACAGATGTTTTCCTAGGGGCGCTGTTGTCATTTGATTTCCATAGCGTGAACATTTCTAAATCGGCATTTGACATACAAGCACGGTACTGCATTTTTATTTATAAACTGCTGCTCCCAGCAATGTTACTGAATGATACACAATTTCGACTTACAAGGTAAGAGAGCTGAGCGCAGTTACACACGCCTGCAATGGAGCACGTTCCCGGAAAGCATTGGTGCCTCTCAGATCTGCGAAATTCCCATACATAAGTGACTTGCAGGATTGCCAAGGAGATGGTGATACAAATGAATTTGCGAATGTTTGAGCAGATATTTCAATTCTGTCAACGTATGGTTATTGATGTGGGACACTCTTGTTTTCTTCCCACCTCCAAATACTAATTAAAAGGCGAATGGCTGATCAAGCCAATGCAGAAACCTCCTGGAAAAGTCGTGACTGAGGGAGGCTTTTAACACTAAATAAATACATTATCCACATCGCTTTGGCTTACCAGCATAATGGTTGCGTTAAAAACCGAATTCCTGAATTCTTCAAATAGAATTGTATCTAGGGAAGTAACACTATTTCAGTAGCGACCATTCTCTATCCACTGGTGAATGTTATTTTGCTGTAACCAGAGGTGCATCTAAAAATGTCCCAAAGGGGAGGCAGGTCTGAAAGGTAAACCTTTGTAAATAAGGTCTTACGTTAACAAATACACCATTTGATGTTTTTGTTTTGTCTTGTAAACATAAAAAGCACCTTTTGGATAATCAGATTGTAAAACATTTTCAATGCAAAGCCTTATTTGGTCAACCTATCTACCAACTTGGCATTGCATGTGATTGCTTTTAATAATGAAAAATATAAAGTCATCCAACATTCATGTGTACTATAGTGTATGTGTTCAATTCTTACACAAGATTGCATTTAAGGAAGCAATTACCTTCATTGAGCTGAACCATATATTCAAATACAAGTTCATTATAAAACAATATTTAACCAATATCAATTAACTGACGAGCATACAAATGATTATATAAACTATATTGAAAATGGGATCTGTAAGTACCCGCAAAATTGTGTATATGTACAACCTTTCATGTCAATGCACTGCTGGAGGACCCCGACACACCGGTGTGGGCTGGTGAGGGCTGGGAGCATATGGGAGCATTGAACAGTAAAACATATTTGCTACACTGCCTTCTGCTGCCCACTACCTATCCCCACAACGTATAATACATGTTAAGTCTCTTGGTCACTTCTGAGACTTGAATAAATTGTGCACATTTCAGGTGATTTGGTCACACATCTATACGAGTGCATAATAGCAATGTTTCAAAACAAGCCTAACTCGGGGTTGGTGCAACCATTTTTTATCTCCAGATTTGAAGCTTTCGTGACTGCAAGGATTCATACTCTTTGGTTTTTTCGGTAAAGTCACGCAGGTAAAAACAATTAAGTAAAATAAATGAAAACAACTAATTTAATCACGACGTTTCGGGCGCAACACAAGCGTCCTTCAGGTGAGGACAACGTAGCGAAAGCACAACCGCTTAAGTGTGTCTAAGAGATGGCTGTGGAATTATATAGTCGCGGGGGATCGAGGGAGGGGAGGGGCCATGGTGAGTGTGTGGGCGGGCTGTGGACTGGAAGGCAACGATGTGAGGAACGGGGAGGGCGCTGGGAGGCAACGCATGGAGTTCAAACTGAAGCTTTGTGATGCAGGGGGCAGAAGTAGATAAGAAAGCTAAGATTAAGCAGCCTTTTGTTATGCTGCCGGGGTGGAGTAATTTAGAAATGCGCAAGATGAAAACAACGTGTGGTAATGGTGATGGTAGTGTGTGAAGCTGGAGGTAGCAGACTGGGATATATGGATATGATTATGAAAATAAATCTAAACTGGCTGTCTAGGAGTAAACTGCATGGCAGTTAAAGTTTAACTTGGTTAATTACATCCTTCCAATGATTGCTCAATTTGAATCCATCATCTCGGTTGAAGTTATGTCTATGTTTGTATATCTGGAAAATTAGAATGGCGCAAGCTAAACTTGCACACTCAAAATAACGTGGCAATGGTGATGGTAGTGTGTAAAGCTGGGAGAAGACTGGGAATATGGATATGAAAATAAATATAAACTGGCTGTCTAGCAGTAAACTGCACATAGATAGGAAATAAAATAAAATATAATAAAACTGAATAAAATAAAAAAAATACAAATTGAAAATAATAAAAGCAAAAAACCCACGACGTTTCGATCGCAACACAAGCGGTCTTAATCAGGCGGAGTATACATGAGAAATCACACGCAAAATTTGATTCAGGAAGTTTTATTATAAATATATGCATATATAGCAAAGATAATTGTATGAAAGTATTCGAATATGGTGCAACATTCCACACTTATAGTTATAAATGTATTTACAACCCGTCAGAAGTAAAGCTACCCATAATGCAACAGTCTAGCAAAGCACCATCCTACACGTTTAATTAAATGATGCACAATACAAGATAACAAACATAATTTAAATGTAATTCAGATTGCTATACCGTGCAGTGCTTATACTTGTTGAATACTGTCCTGTACCATTTAAAATCATGACCAATTATAACTTCTCATTTGTGAAACTTGATGCAATATTCACTGCTTAATAACATAAACAATTTACCTTTTCGATCAGTACTATAATTATATTCTTCACATCCATAGGAATTAGATACATGCAAGTTGTAAAGTGGCTCACACTCCCAAGTCATCCAAAACTTTTAGTGCTGAAGTTTAAACTAATGACATGCTCACGTGAGGAATTTGTAAAACTCTGTGGTAGACTGCCAGATAAAAAAAAAACTACCTCCAGTACTTGCAATTTAATGTATGAAATCAAGTGGGACTTTTCACACGTCCAATCTCTTCTCTCTGCCTTCCTCCAGGAAATACAGTAAATCACCATAAGTGACATTTTACATTAGTTTATAATAACTAACGTAAAATAACAAAAAAATAAACGTCAAGTGTTTTAGGCAATCAGCCGCAGGGTTCCATAAAGGTAATGAAAATGGTAAGGCAGAATTTGAAATATTGTGATGTTTCACACTTTGCAAAACTCATTTTGCATTTTAAAAAAATAGTACCAATTACACTTACCATGCATTGTACATTATTATCTGAACGTCTCATATCTCTTTCAGTCTCAATATAATGTGGGTGGAATGTTTGGATCAAATTGGCAGTTTGAAGGGTAATTAACCTGTCAACTTCTATGTGCATATGTCAAGCGGTGTGCATATTTCTTTTTCACTCGGTTGTATTGGATAAGTCCAGCAATACAATGTCTAATTCACAGGGAATATTTCATAAAAAGATGTAAATTGACCAAATTAACCATTTTACATGACAGTATAACTCGATTAAAAGTGATATTTGCAATGTGTTGATTTATGCATGTTTGTTTTCGAGCATAAACGTGCCTTTTTCTCACATTAAGACAAACATTTTCCTAAAAAGCATACGTTATGTTAGGGCCAGTACTGTAAGTGCGCACCTGCTCAGGCTCAAATGACAGAGTGATGTGGCAATAAACACATCCAAATGCCTTCTCGGTGCTGAATCAGGTTCTCCTAGAGGAGGCCCGCAACAGATAACATTTGCCAATGATGTTATCCATAACCAGGACTTGAATCCAGGTCACGATATTGGTAGGAAAGCACACAAACAACTACACCACAGCTCCACTCACGCACATATACACAATTATGCATGTGCCTTCAGAGATCATTAGGATTGTCTGGTCGGCTTACAAATGATGAACAATGGAACTGTACATTACTCGAGAAAATGTGGTGCTCAAAGAGAGCTTTGGAAGGCTCTGCTGCCCAGCAGATGTGACTGGATGATGAACGGCCAGTCGTTAGTTCTGGAAGGACTCTGCTGCGTCAATGTCCTGCTCCTGCACAATTGTGGCACAGAGTGAAGAAAATACATCTGAATTAGATTGTCAAGAATCATCTGATTCAAACTTTCACATTTCACCCCAGCATATGCCCAATGTGTACCCATACTTTTTTACCCATGCAAAGCCCAGCTTACATTTAAGTCAACGTTCTCCAATCATATATAGACTTAATAACTGTAGACATTAGGACACCATTGAAGATGGTGAAGTCGGTCATAAAAATTGCTGATGAGGATAAGATAATTTACGGAGATGACTATTATGAGAGCAGAGGTTGGAGGTGCTCGGAAAGATGGCAATCATGACATTCTCGATCGTTAAAGTGCCACTGTACCTGGTTCAGTTTTTTAAACTCAACAAGCTGAAAAAAGACATGCTGCAGAACATGGCGGGCATCTTGTGCCTCTCTTGGCAGCTTGCTCGTCACACCCAAGATGTCACCGCACTTCCGAACATAGTACTCCAGATCGTCATCTGTGCCTGTTGCATAGATCACACAGTAAAGCACTTATGGCACATCACTGTTTTAGTTATGCAGACGCAGTCGTTAAGTTTCTGGTATAGTGTTTATTTATTTTACATTTAACCACATCTATTTCCTACCTTAAAAAAAACAAGTTTTAAACCATACGAGACTACACATGAACGTTTACTAGATTTTATACAGGACTGAATAGCCATTATTTGGGGATTTAAAGAAGCCTTGGGAAGAAAGTCTCTGCCATATAGGGCAAAGAAAATGTAAAACTTGTTGGTGCAAGTTCATTCCAGTGTCTTGGGGAATACACAATTTAAAAGGTTCAACATATGGCCTTCACAGTGATTACGTGAGATGCAGCGCTTACATTTATTGGTGAGCTGTGCTAGACGGACTTTCTCTGATGAAAATGCTTCATCCAGGTCAAAAAGTTCCAGTGGAGGAGGCCCCAGTTCCCGAAAATTAGGTGGAAACACCTGCATACAAATTGAATTAAACATCCTTTATGTTATAAGGTGAGAATTATTTTCAAACCAATTACATCCTTTGTAAAGGAGACAAAATTGGGATGTTACATTTGACTGCCAATGCCTTCAGTAAAAAAAAATTATCTTTAACAAAGATTTTTTAAGAATGAAGAAGTGTAGTAATGACCGAGAAGTAACAGTAACTTGTAAATTTCATGCAAACTGACTCGGAGAAATGCACACTTACCACTAGGCTACTGAGCAAACCTGAAAGGCTACGTCGGTGTAGTATGTCCACTCTCACATCCTGCTTTTATGCGATCTCAGATTAGTTCTAACTTTCTCAAGCTAAACATTTCTAAAATGTCCATACAAAATAAAGACTCCAATTCAAGGCTACACATCATAAACTGCATTACACTGGTGGTGATTTTGGGGCCATCATCAATCCCAAACTCAAGTTATCTCTCAACTTTCCAGGACCTCCTCTTACCTTCAACGGAAAAACCATCTGCATTTTACCACTTCCTTGCCTACCTATATCACCTGTTGACTTTACTGCAACTCTTATCTATGGCTCACCTCTAAACTCCAGATAAGCCAAATACCATTGCAATATTACTCAACCACAACGATAAACAAGACTACATCATCCCAATACTCCAATACATCTGTTGTGTAGTGCAGAACAACTCGGAGACCGAACTCCTAGTAAGGGCTTGCGCCGGTTTATCAACACAAGGGGTAACAATCCACACCAGAGGTAGGTATCCCTACTCGGTCCTTCACACGGCCCTCAGGCTCTATCTGTTCCTAGCCTTGGCTATCTCTTGGGCTCTCTCACTCGAGTCGGGACGGGGGATCAGCCAACACCGCCCGACCGAGGAGAACAGCACCCCATGTAACCTTAGCCGGCTCTTACAGACTTCTCCGAGCCCTACCGCTGGCTATATCTTCGGCTCTCCTACTCGTAGAACCCGGACGGGGGATCAGCCAACACCGTCCGGTCACGAGCAGGAAAGACCTCCTTTCAGACGATCTCCATCCTGGGCTCCCACAATGACCCCGCTCAAGTCACGGGGTCCCCCTTAAGTACCCCCTTACAATACCCGTGACATGACCTCATCCCACTACCCCCTGACGTCATCACCCTACGCCTCAACACATCCACTAACTCACAATCTAGTCTCTCATAAACTACAAAATACACTCACCATATTCAAGATCCTCTATGGACTCGGTCCATCTATCTCTCCCTTCTTATATAACTCCTTCACGTGCTCTCCTCTCATGTAACCACTCATGTAACCAAGGTTTTCTAAACGTTGCTCCTTCTCTGCTGCCCCTGTAGTTTGGTACTGCTTCCCACAGGCCAACTGCCTGTCCCAAGTTCAGGCTAAAGACCTCCTGTTTATGGCTGACTTCCCTTAAAAAGCATATTCATCCTTTTCCCTTATGACGGGCATCCCATTGTTCTATGCGCCATCTTAAGATGCGACCGCATTAATTACAATACAAATTTATTTTATGTATTTCCTACAAAAAACATTGAACACACTCTCATGCACTTAACAGGCAGTGATTAGCACTGATGAAAGCCAAAATTTTTACTCTTTGCATGGACTTGTACTTACAGCTGGCTGGAGGGGTGGCAGTGGGGTTTCGAACTGCGGCTGAATGAGCTGAAGTGATTCATGTTTAATGTTTAGCTGCTCATAAGCTCTGGAAAAAACAAAATGCATTGGGAATAATGGAGGCCATATGGTAACACACACTTTATGCTGGTATCAAATATGTTAAAAAGTAAACCTAATACAAAGCAAGCTGCAAAACTAAATTTGATTTTAATTTTTGGTGTCGTCACCAGTAGTTACTACAAAAGTCATAACACAAGAGAACCTGGTTTATTTCTAGCAGCTTCTGTAGAATCAATGCAGTGATGATAGCTGTTCTGGCATTGGAAAAGCATTAGATCTTTGACGCACCCACTCATCTGAACCCTGCTTCAGTTTTGAAGCTGGAATATGTGAAGACATTCTGCATTTACATCCAATGTGAATCTGTATGCTGCGTGACTTTCAAACAAGAGAAGGTAAATGTCACTGACTCAATAACTTTGGGCAGCGACGTCATGTCAAGGGAGAAGGTGTTGATGTCAAAGAGGGTGGTAAAATCGCGTGGAATCTCATCGCTCTCCTGCAGGCAGACACGCAGATTCTCAGCCAACTTTCCCGTATCGGGCAGCATGTTGTAGTCCGAGATCTGCAAAGAGAAGAACAGACAATTCCATTCCCGAAAGGGAATCCTCACTTTGCAAACGGAAAGTTCCATCTCGTGGCTAGGCTAGATATTGCAGCAAAGTATACCTTTAACAAGAGTTTGGAAGTAAGACTTTATAGTACTGACCCAAGGTGAACCTATTTTGAAATGCTCTATGTTGTAGTAATGCATTACTCTAGTACAGGTGCCTACAGTGGTTATATTATATGGGAAAATAATGTAATTGGTGAGTATGGTAGCTTACCACTTGTAAAAATAATACACTAATTATATTTAACTGTAAGATGGGCTCATGTCATCAGGAAAAAATTAAATCCATCCATATTTAAAGAGTTCTCTCATTCCTCGATAAAACATGGCATCATTGGAACCTCATTTGCCAGTAAAAAATATGATTATTGTTTTTTTACCCTTCTATCTGGCAACAAAACTGACACCTTTTTTCAAGGAGTCATGTTTGCATAGACCACAATACCTGCAGCCATAATGCAAACAAAAAACATAACTCTGATAATATATCCATCATCTGGTCCAACCCATGTGAGACTAGGCTCTAAGGAAAGCTGTCTCGGGTGTGGACCAATCAACTTCAAGGACAGTGCATATATTATCAGAGTTATGTTTTATGTTTGCATTATGGCCGCAGGTATTGTGGTCTATGCAAACATGACTCCTTGTAAAAAAGGTGTCAGTTTTGTTGCCAGATAGAAGGGTAAAAAAACAATTATCAAAACATGGCATCCTTATAACTGAGCTAAAATGAAGGAATTTGTTAAAACAAAGAATGGTGAAGCATTCGATGCAGTGCTGAGCACCCGTGAACCTCTGTTATACCGACTTAAAACTTTCGTGACTGCAGGAATTCATATTCGTGGTTCTTTCGGTAAAGTCACATAAATAGAAAACAAAAAATATACACAGACAGACACAATGCAACCGAGACGACGGTTTTAAACTCAGCAATCATTGGAAAGATGTCATCAACCACTTTGGGTCATGACTTGATTTGTGTTTTCTTGTCAACCTCTACTGTCAGCAGTGTGGTTGTGTGTAGCGAGGTGCAATGCCCCCCCCCATCTCTACCCCCCCATCTCTGCCTCTCTCTCCCCCTGTCTCTGCCCCCTTCCTCCACCCACCATTGTCTGCTCTTACGTTAACGCTGGCTGACTGGCTGCTCCGCCCATGCTGTTTGCGCTGCACAAGCTCTCCTCCGCCCAACTCCCCCTTTGTGTTGCTCCTACATTAGCGTGCTGCTTGCGCCGTTCGTGTTGCTTGCGCAGCTCTTTCCCTCGCCCAATCACTTTGGAACCCTTATAAGCAGCTACATTTGGAGGCATGCCCCCTCTTTTCTCTCCGCCTGATGAAGACCGCTTGTGTTGCGATCGAAACTTCGTGGGTTTTTTCCTTTTATTATTTGAAATGTATTCATTTTAATTAAAACATTTTATTTTATTTTACTATTTTAATTTTTATTGTGGGTTTTTTGCTTTTATTATTTTCAATTTATTATTTTGATTTGTATTATATTTTTATTATTTTAAAAAGTAATTTTATATATATTTTTAATTTACGTGACTTTACCAAAAGAACCAAGAATACTCTGTGAAACTCACAAAAAGATCCCCAATATAGCCTTAACATACTGTAACAGCAAGTGCTGTTAGGGAGCACCTATGAAGTCTGGCATGGCAAACAAGGGGTTGGTGGTCAGCACCATTCCCAGCCACCTGTCTCCCAAGTGGCGAAGTTTACACACCGCACCAGGTACTCATTTGGTGTTATGTCAACCTACAGGAGGCCCAGGACCGGTTGAGATAATCGTCACTGGTGATGGCCATGAGCATGAATGGAACCCGCGTTGCCGGGTTCGTAGCGCAGTGCGCTAACCACTACACGACCGCTCCCCACAACACACACACACAGTGGCACATACCTGAAGATAATATTGGACACAAAATAAACCATAGCAGAATTGTTTTTATATTATATTCATTCAAACCAATACACGAGGGTAGGGAATGCAGCTTGGACTTCAAAGGGCTGTCAAGGCAAGCTTCCTCTCCCTCAGAAACAAACAGAAATTTCAAGACCACCAGAGGAGAACACAGCCGATAATGCTGCACCCCATAGTAAGGAGGAAGGGTGGCTTGGTAATGTGGCAATGTGTGTGTGTGTAAGAATTACAAAAGTTCAGGAGCAATGAGCACCCCAACAAATGTTATACTAAATGAACATACACACACTCACATTATAAGTGCCACCATACCAGAGCTCTTAACCAAAGTTGGTCTGAGTTACTGCAGTCAAAACTGGTCTGCAAAACCTAGCCTCATTGCAGGCCTCGTTGTAAAGTCTATAATGCTTAATGAAAGCCTTTGGGTGAGCCAAAGTGGATGCCCTACAAATCTTAGGAATCGAAACTGAGGCTGCCAATGCCTAGGATGTGGAGACCACCCTTGTGGAATGAACCATGAAGGACATGGGAATCTGCCAAATTTATAAGAGGTGGGCAGGCGCAGCAGGCTGCTCACTGCTCCTCTGGAGTCTGCCAGAATTTAAGAGACAGGCTTTGACATTCCATGCACCCATGGGGATTGTGGTCAGCCTGCAAGGCACAAGCCACACCGCTCATGAGGATCAGCAGCCCTGTGTGGCCAGCAGAAAATCTAACATAGATTGCCTTTCCTGCCTTTTTAAATTTCCACCATCATCAAGTGATTCTGAAATTACATCTACAGCCACCAATAACTACTACATTTGCCTACAAAGAGGGCCCTGCAGTGTGAAAAAAAATAACGGCTTCATCCCCGTGCCGAAAAACTGTTGAGAAAATAGACAAAATACCAATAAAGTCAATATGCTTGAAGGAGCAGAGTAAAAATGTGTTCTACTCACTCACAATAGTGGGAAAAAAAGCTGAGCAGGTAGCAATGCGACATGGCTATCGCGAGATGGTGACATCGCAGTGCACTCCCATGGTCGTAGAAAATGTGTTTGTATTGGTCTTTGTGAACTGCGCTCCCCCCACCAGTGTACTGGTTGGAAAAAAAACTTTTTTAATCAATGTTTTTCTCCGCCAACATTTATATCATGTCCATTTCACTGCCACGATCTAAGCAACTAGTGCAACGTAGCGGTTTCTGTGTTAGTGGAGTATAATGTCAATACCTCTGGGTCCTCCGCATCAATTTGATTGAGTTGAACATCTTTCGTTGTGAGCCACTGCATCAAAACATCCTGTTAAAGGGTTTAAGTATTGAAAGAAACAGCAAAAATCATGAACACGTTATTTGATTTGCATGATCTATGCAGTAATATATTGAGAAGTCCTATGAATAGTGATTATGCACTGTTGATGGTTATAAACTTGTACTGGATCAGTCAAATGGATTCATAGGCATAATGGTATTTTTATAGTCAAATCACATTTTTTTATTCTGCAAAAACATTTGCAAGACCTCACTTGCAAATCAGACAATGCACCTTTTCTGCTTAAAGACGTGTACTTATTCTATTATTTCCCTTTGGCCCAACAAAGGTTGCAAGTGACAGTACTGTAAGTAGGCATATAACTATTTACCCCCCACAGCCTCGCCTCAGTAATTTGATGAAATTGTATGTTTCAAAGTAACAATTTAAGAATCAAATATTTTTCGTCTTATTTTTTAGCATCTTATCTACATATTTTCACATTTATACAGGTTGGTTTACTTTATACACCTAACCGTAAAGTCAAATTATTCTTATTTCATTGCATAAATCGTAAATAATTCTCACACACATGGTTTAATGCATATATCACAAGTGTAATGGCTTGGGTCATGCAGCAGGTGGCAGCATTGTAATCTGAAAGAGATTTGTCTTGTGAGCAATGCCATTCAATAAAATCCTGCCTTTGAGCGTTATCATCCATTATTATTGAACCCAAACACCTGCCAGGGGAGAGTGTTTACCAGAATCTTGTTGTTCTCCTCCTTGTCCAGGTACTGATCACTGAACATGTGACATGAGCCCAGTACAGCAAGCTTCCCTCCACTTTGCTGTTTGAAGAAAAACAAATTATGCAGGTTCAGTTTTTGTAATTATTTAAATGTCGATGCATGTCCAGGTAATATATATGTTGAAGTTAAGTTACAGCTTCGCAATTTTATTAAAATTATCGCTGGGACATTCATTAATATGATCAAACACTGCATTTATCAGGTATAGCAAATACGCTCATGAGACACCTATAGCTACTTCTACCATCTATTTCAATGTTATCAAAAATATATATATGTAATGGATGAGATAAACCAATCACGCTTGTGTTGCGCCCGAAACGTCGTGATTTATTTTATTTTCTACCCATGTGACTTTACCGAAAGAACCAAAGAGTATGGATTCCTGCAGTCACGAAAGCTTCAAATCAACAAAAGTGCTGGCTGGAAAACCATAATGTTCCAGCATGCACCGTTTTTCTGTTATTATGGGTTTCTCTCGTATGCAGGTATTATTATTTGATATTAGCCAAGCTCATCTGCTCAATAGTGTAGAAGTGGGGACTCCACAAATATGGTTGCAAAGGCAGACTTTGCAGTCGTGAGCATTGGTGACTATATTGAACTGTGCTGTTGAGTCCTAATAAGAACAAAACTGGTCTAATGTTCCGATTTAAAGCTTTCGTGACTGCAGGGATTCATCTTCTTGGTTCTTTCGGTAAAGTCACGTAAAAGGGAAGTAATAAAATAATAAAAATAAAACATAATAAAACAATTCTCACGACGTTTCGGCCACAACGCAAGCAGCCGTCCTCAGGTGAAAACCAGGTCCGTCGAGGCGACAGAGTCTGAATGAAACAGCACACGAGCTTGGAGCATATATATAAGCTGGGCGCATTGACAAAGGAATTTGCATATCAAAAGGAATTTAGCATATTTATGGGAAATGCAGGAATGTGATTAGTCCTGCATATGCATGTGCATTATGCAGGATTAACAGCATCAAAGGGAGCTGCAGTTACTGCTGCTGCTGAAATTACTGCTGCTGCTGCAGTTTCTGCTGCTGCTGCAGTTACTGCTGCTGCTGCAGTTGCTGCTGCACTTGCTGCTGCTGCTGCACTTGCTGCTGCTGCAGTTGCTGCCTTATCCATTTTAATATAACACTATGTATTATTCTACCCACCCTAATGTGTATCACACTGCTATATGTTTACTATACAATTACGACACCATACATTACTCTGCACACTGCACCATGCCAGTGAGTGGAACGCGGTCTGAAAGTCACCGTAAACGTGAACACAATCAGTTAAGATCCGAAATGGTTTATTACGTCCTTCCAATGATTGCTAAGCCAGAATCCATCTTCTCGGTTGAAATTGTCTCTGTGTTTGTATATGTGGATCGCCTCATGAACGAATCTCTCATGATAGCCAGATGGCTTGCAGAGAACCTCTGTCTTGGAGAAGTCAATGTCATGTGAGCCCACTGAATTGTAACAGTGATCTGCCACGGCTGAGGTGTTTGTCCTACCGTGTTTCAGGTCTGCCTTATGTTCACGGATGCGGTCCGAGACATGTCGTTTGGTTTCCCCAATGTAACTGCTACCACAGAGGAAACTTAGTTTGTAGACGCCAGGGTACTGTATGTCTGGAACCACATCTTTTACAGACGGGACCAGATCACGGATTTTATGTACTGTGTTGAATCGGACCTGGATCTTGTGTTTAATCAGGATTTTGGAGATCTTTTTTGTGACCCCAGCAATGTAGGGTAAGGTGATGGTCTTGAAAGGCTCCTGAACAGGATCCTTCTTGATGGTTGGAGTGATGGCTTTGCGGATTGTGTAGTCGGAGTAACCATTAGCCTTAAGAGCTTGGCGTACGTGTTTGAGTTCACTGGAAATGTGTTCATGGTCGGAGATGCATTGGGCTCTATGATATAGAGTCTTGATGAGGGAATTCTTCTGGGATGGATGGTGGTGGGAATCCGGTTTTAGATAAGCATCCGTGTGGGTGGCTTTCCTGTAGACAGAGTGGCTCATTGAACCATCAGGTCTCCTTTTGATTAGGACATCCAAAAAGGGTAGCTTGCCATCATTTTCGACTTCCATGGTGAATCTGATGGCTGGGTGTATGGAATTGATGTGGTCGAGAAATTGGTCTAGAGCAGGCCGGCCATGTGGCCAGATGACAAAAGTGTCGTCTACGTACCTCTTCCATAAGGTCGGGCGTAGAGTGGCAGTCTGGATGGCGTCCGTCTCAAATTTCTCCATGAAGATGTTGGCTACAACCGGAGATAGGGGGGAGCCCATTGGGGTGCCCTCAATTTGCTTGTAGAAGATTCCATTCCAGGTGAAGTATGTATTGGTTAAGCAGTGTCTCACCAGGGGGGGTACCCCAGCATTCAGTCCTTGATGAACCAAGTCTTCAATGATTGCGATGGTGTCAGGCACAGGCACCTTGGTGAACAAGGAAACCACATCAAAACTGACAAGCAGGTCGTCTGGGGACAGGGCAATCCCTTTGATTGTCGATACCAGGTCAGTAGAATTTAGTACTGCAGAGGTGGTTTTTCCAGTGAAAGGCCGTAGGATTTCGGACAAAAAAAAAAAAAGATCTCCAAAATCCTGATTAAACACAAGATCCAGGTCCGATTCAACACAGTACATAAAATCCGTGATCTGGTCCCGTCTGTAAAAGATGTGGTTCCAGACATACAGTACCCTGGCGTCTACAAACTAAGTTGCCTCTGTGGTAGCAGTTACATTGGGGAAACCAAACGACATGTCTCGGACCGCATCCGTGAACATAAGGCAGACCTGAAACACGGTAGGACAAACACCTCAGCCGTGGCAGATCACTGTTACAATTCAGTGGGCTCACATGACATTGACTTCTCCAAGACAGAGGTTCTCTGCAAGCCATCTGGCTATCATGAGAGATTCGTTCATGAGGCGATCCACATATACAAACACAGAGACAATTTCAACCGAGAAGATGGATTCTGGCTTAGCAATCATTGGAAGGACGTAATAAACCATTTCGGATCTTAACTGATTGTGTTCACGTTTACGGTGACTTTCAGACCGCGTTCCACTCACTGGCATGGTGCAGTGTGCAGAGTAATGTATGGTGTCGTAATTGTATAGTAAACATATAGCAGTGTGATACACATTAGGGTGGGTAGAATAATACATAGTGTTATATTAAAATGGATAAGGCAGCAACTGCAGCAGCAGCAAGTGCAGCAGCAGCAGCAAGTGCAGCAGCAGCAGCAACTGCAGCAGCAGCAGTAACTGCAGCAGCAGCAGAAACTGCAGCAGCAGCAGTAATTTCAGCAGCAGCAGTAACTGCAGCTCCCTTTGATGCTGTTAATCCTGCATAATGCACATGCATATGCAGGACTAATCACATTCCTGCATTTCCCATAAATATGCTAAATTCCTTTTGATATGCAAATTCCTTTGTCAATGCGCCCAGCTTATATATATGCTCCAAGCTCGTGTGCTGTTTCATTCAGACTCTGTCGCCTCGACGGACCTGGTTTTCACCTGAGGACGGCTGCTTGCGTTGTGGCCGAAACGTCGTGAGAATTGTTTTATTATGTTTTATTTTTATTATTTTATTACTTCCCTTCTACGTGACTTTACCGAAAGAACCAAGAAGATGGTCTAATGTTGTCTATCTGTGTCACTGCTGCCTGTCAGTTGGTCACGTTCGTTAAAATTGATTTTGATGGAGACATAAGACAAGAGGACCACAATGCACTTGTTCAAAAAATGCTGACTGTTTTTCCATAAGCACAAGAGACTGTGTGCTTTTTACACGCGTTTGTGTATTGTTTGAAACTGGCAATGTTCTTAATGCGGTAACTTTGAAATAGTCTTTGATTAAAGCTAGATTTATGTGAAGCTATGAACTACACTTGCAGTTCTATGTTGTGAGTAGCAAGAGTCAGTGCAGAAAACCCTTAGCAGTATTGTTTCTATGCTTCTATGTCTATGCTCCCCACTATCAACATGCACTGAAGTATGGGCAGATATACATCACAACCTGTACGGTGTGGGGAGGCTCTCATCCAGCAGTGAATTGACAAATGGCTGAACATGTACTAACTACACTACAATGTATCCTCCCATTGGTCCTGCTCTGGAATCTTGCTCACCTTGTTGTGATGGAAGGCAAGCACAGGCCGATTGAGTGGGAAGCACACACTGCCTGTAGACAGCACTGCCACTGCCGGCTTCATGACATTCAGGGTTGCTCCGTATGGGTACACAAATGTCAAACCCCTAGAGGTGGAAAGGGAGGTGAGTGAGTGGGTGGGTAATACAACCGCTTCAAAAACATATTCGATACAGACAGATCACAAGCAGAGGTTAGCAAAAACTGCGCTGTCATGTCCATGAACTAGGACTGTGTTTTGCCAAAATGTACTTGAGAACATGATATCATTTTAATCACTTGAACTTCTTCTGAACTTCTTCGTGTGACACAAATGCTATGGGCTGCCCAAAAATGTATCATTAAAACAATTGTATCTTTGCATTGCAATGCAAAATATATACAGTTCAGTGTTCAATTGTGTAATTACTCTAAATTTCAATGGTATTTACATTTCATAATCTTACATGTCTATGCCAGAACACAAATATCACACTTAAAAATGCACTCTAATTACTTAATAATAACAACTTTACGTCTTCTTAAGTAAAATTACTAAGGTCTATCTGGCAAAATAATGTTGCACATGAAGGGGCTTTCAAGTGGTTTTAAAGTTAATGTCATTGCCAAGCAAACGCCATCAAGTCACAAATATGACAACCTAGCCTAGGAATTGTTTCCAAAAATGGTAAAGCATCAGCCACCATATTCTTGGTTCTTTCGGTAAAGTCAACCATCTCTGCACTTTTGGCCCAAATTTAACATGGGTTAAAGCACAAAAATAGGTAAATAGAACATGGAATTTTGATTTAAAGTTTTCGTGACTGCAGGGATTAATATTCTTGGTTCTTTCGGTAAAGTCACGTAGAAGGGAAACAATAAAATAATAAAAATATAAAAAATAAAATTATCACGACGTTTCGATTGCTTGTGTTGCAATCGAAACGTCGTGAGAATTTTATTTTTTATATATTTTTTATTTAATTGTTTCCCTTCTGCGTGACTTTACCGAAAGAACCAAGAATAAGAACATGGAATGTCAACCTTATAATCTAATTTCAATTCACACATTGTTCCTCACTTATATACAAGTAACACAATGATTGAGGAAAGGGTTGCGGCTCACTGTGAGATATGACTGCCGTTTTCATCATCCCCTGCTCCAGGAACCGGCTTGCCGGCTGCCCGGTTTATCTCCCTAAAACAAGCCAAGCATACAATGCAAAAACACATGATTCAGCAGTAGATCTAATTTCCCTTCAAAGTTTTAACCAAGCATAACATTTCAGGGTGCCAAATAGAGGGGGGAAATCGGCAGGGGAAAATCTAGTAACAAGGCATTTCATACGTGACATTCAACCAATGTGATAAATAATGGATATATTTGTTCTAAGGTTATGTAGATGTTTTATTACTGGGCATTAATATTTCACATGGTAATAAAATGGAAATAACATGCCTTTAGGGCATTTTGTTTTGATATTTTAATTGTTTCATAATTAATAAGACTTAGTTATCGGTACAGTACCACAATGCTACTCCCGTGAGTACTGTTAAAGCAGAATGTTAATTTGCTTATTGTTACACCATGTCTTGTAGCCACATCTGAAATCCAGTGCTCTGGAGGCAAATATATGTGAATAACTGTGGATTTGTAAGCCTCCCAAATTAGTTGAGTTGCAGGAGGCTAAATTATGGCAATACAGTAAATTGGTACATGAGCCCATATATAGAACCTATTGAGTGTTATCCTATATGTAGGTTTTCTCCAGGTATTCTGGTGACCTTTAACATGCATGACACTCATAAAAAGGAATTACCAGGAGTTACTGTACAGTACTAAACTGCGATTGTCTGGCATCTTTCAGCGCAACATGGTAATGCAACTAAAAGCAAGTTGTATGTTATAGCTTTGAGAGTGCAATTTTCTATTTTTTTCTATTTTCTTTTCTTAACTTTTAGGGGTACTCCCCAAATGGTACATTTATATGCAGGACATGGTATATCCGCGAACATTATTTTGATCACAATCTGTAGAGTCGTGAAAACATTCTGGGCACTCAATGCAAGATCCATCCTTGAAAAAAAAAAGCAACTCCTCTCATCAGTCAACATAAGCATGACTAAGTACTTTCTTTGTTTTTCATAAAGATATCTGTCCATTGCAATATATCTCCAACTATCAAGCAGACAAGTGTAGTAATTTACCTGTTCAGGACACCGTTTGATATGAGGGCCTCCTTGGGATGGTAGTACTTGTAGTAAACATTTCGTATCACAGCATCTGTTGGTAAAACAGAACCGTTTTATATTGAAATTACACAATCTACATTGCACAATAATTTAACATGTTTAAATTACATTTTAATACGTTTTTACCAATTATACCTCAATTGCACCATTGCAATCCAGGCAAAGAGCAAATCATTTTATTTGGTGATAATGATTAGTTTTTACTTAAGTTTGTGCCCAAGTTCCAAGTTTGGAAAAAGGCTTTATTAATGACAGACTTATACTTCAAGTAAATGCAAAGAGTCTTGCAATTATTACGTTAAACAGTGCAATTTTCCTGTGATGTTGTGAATAATCATGTAGTTGACATTGTTGTTCCATTTACTATAGGTCACAATAATAATTTACATTTATGAGGTGCATTTCATCCGTAGATCCCAATGCACCGTATATGGAAAGCAGAAAACGAACAGAACCAGAGTAAATAGCAAATATTTGTGGATAACTGTGGATTTGTAAGACTCCCAAATTAGTTGAGTTGCAGGAGGCCAAATTATGGCAGTACAGTAAATTGGTACATGAGCCCATATATATTATTGAGTGTTATCCTATATGTAGGTTTTCTCTAGGTATTTTGGTGACCTTTTACAAGCATGACACTCATAAAAAGGAATTCACCAGGAGTTACTGTACAGTACTAAACTGCAATTGTCTGGCATCTTTCAACGCAGCATGGTAATGCAACTAAAAGCAATTTTATTTTTATTAATTTTAATTTCATTTTTTTACCTACGTGACTTTACCGAAAAAACTAAGAGTATAACTAAAAGCAAGTTGTATGTTATAGCTTTGGGAGTGCAATTTTCTATTTGTTTCTATTTTATTTTCTTAACTTTTAGGGGTACTCCCCAAATGGTAAAGGTCAATTTAGAGAGGTGAGTTTTCAAGATAGGGCTTAAATAGCCCTAAACACTCTGTCGTATTACCAAAGGTAAAGCGTTCCATATTCTGGGAGCTGCACTGCCAAAAGGCCATTCACCCCAGGAACAGAGCCTTGATCTCGGAGTACTTAGAAGGCATTCCGAAGATCTCAGGGACATCATTGCCGAAAAAAATCGGTTAGTTCCTGCAAATTTTGTGAGGCTAACCCACCGAGAGCCTTGTAGGTCAGCAGCAGAATCGTATAAATCTACTCGATACTTGACTGGTAGCCAATGCAAAGAAGGGAGAACAGATGTAATGTCTTGCGAGGTGGTGTGCGCGCAAGCACTCTGGCAGATGAATTAATACCATTGTTCACCATAATCCCAAACTCTTCAAGCAGGAAGTTGATGTTGGTATCATGTTTGGCCTCGCCTCCTTCACCCAGCATCACCAGCACCGTGCCTCCACTGTCCAGGTACCTCTTCAGTGCTTCAATCTCAAAGGTTAAGGGATAATAAAAATGCATCATTACACGTGTTTCATTATTTTAAACAAGGGCCACTGACTACTTATGGTGGGAAAGAAGTGCAACACACATACATTGGGCAGAACTTTAGCGTGCATTTTATCCAGTCACAAATCAATGGTTGTCAATGATAATGGTACAAATATATTTCCACCTGCGCTTTACAACTGTCAATGTAGTCCCATCAATTTGAATTTAGCTTCTTTCACATTAGCCATGTAGGCTAAAAAAAGTGAAAGAGTACCCAACATTTATACAAATAAAGATTTGATCGATGTCAATGCCTCAAATATAATTGTAAATGCCTACATGGCCAAGCTAGTCACTGCATAAATGTGAGAAGCAGCATACATGATACATTATAAGTATAGTCTGTTTGACTTTTTGTCCCAGCCTGCATGCTTATCCAGATGATGTGGGTTCTCATTAGCTGCAGAGGACATAAGCTTTAGTGTTTTTGAAACTGGCACACACAAACTGTATGCCTCCCAGAGCAACAAAGTATTTTTATGCGTAGTGAGAGCAGTGTGCTGTTAATAATGTAATCACCAATTAACTCAGCGTATGGTTGCAGAGACAAAACACAAATAAATGATGTGCAATGCAATTAGGCCGAGTGCTTTTAAATTATTAGCTGTGAAAATGAAGAGTTCTGGCAGTTTAGAAAGTATAATAATAAAAGTAAATTAGGTGAAATACTGTCTTGCATCAAATGGTGTATCACTACTGTGGGAAGTCTGTCGTAAAGTAGACATAACAGCCCGTGTAATATAATTTTCAGCGGCGTGCGACTAAATGTGCGTCATAAAATTCTAAATTACTTGAAACTGAAAAAATAACTGTCCCTCTATAACCTCAATGGGATATCACCTGGTTTAATAAAGGCCAGTAGCCTCAGTTCCAAAAATTATATGAAAAAACTAGTGAAGCCCATTTATTGACTGGTACAGTCCACCCTTATTACCATCACACAATCTTGGAGAGTTGACGTCTCGGTCTGGTCACGCAACTATATAGAATTAACATCTTTAAACGTCATAGCGGCTGACTGCATTACATTTTTTCGTCAAAGAGGTGGGTGAAATGTGTAGTGTTGCCCATCAGTTTAGTGAAAACCAGTAAATGTATGAAAAACTGGCAAAAGCCCAACTCCCAAGGCCATCAGACTAACATTGTTGCCATTGAAATTCCAGACTACATGTCTGTAGCCAAATACCTCCCAGCATGCATTTCACTCAATTTATATCCAGTCCCTTTTGTCCATCAACTACTGGATGAGTGTCTCCCCACATTATACAGGTGGCAGGGAACATTTGACCATACTTCAACACGTAAGTCAGTGCGGTTTGTGAAGGCAGGGAGCATGTTTACAGTAAAACAAGATGCTTTGCTGCACTGCCCTATTCTGCCCACCACATAGCCCTGCAGCGCTAAGACAACCTGTTTGTGCATGTTGGTCACCTATCCAGGCACTACCCAGGCTCAATACTGCTTAGCATCTTGAGATATGACAACACAGGGAGCATTCCATGTGATTTGGTCTTGGCAACTAAGTTTATACTCTTGTAATTTTCTGGCACAAATAGCATTTTGACTTGAAATGAATGCAGTCCAGTGCTCGAATTCTGAAATTATGCAACAATCTATGTACTAAACTAGGTATTGGTTATGTGCAGGTACTGGATGACACGAAAGGACAATTAGAATGAACAGTGATACTTCTGTTTAACACGTAGGCTTTCTCAACCAATATTCATAATAAAGGTTTGTGGGTTAGATCGAGTAAGTATAAATGTGTCGTAACCCTCCACCACCCGACACAGCCAATTCGTAAGGGATTTTGTCACGTAAACAAAACACCAATTAGCTACTACTTCAGCCCACCCGTGTGTTGGAGAGGAAATTCACAACATTTACTATTTGAGTACTTCTTTAGACAATTGTGTAATGTAGCTCTCAGAGACACCGTCTTGTTCTTTGATGTATATTTATTACGAATAAAGTCTGCTGACAACTTAACGAGTAACTGCGAGTGACTATATACACTTGGGTAATTAGACAACTCTATTCTGAGACAACGTAACTCCAGCCCTTCAAGACTACACGGTGCCTACTCCAGGATGATGAGGACAACCCGTTCCAAGGCGAAGACGATTCCCCATAACAACAGCCGCGAGAGGTCCAGTTCTCGCAGGCTCTTATCCCTCTCACGACCCGGCCACGCCCCTATTCCTGAACTCTCGCTCACCCTGTCAATCTCTGCCCTTATTACACTTTAAGACCGTTGGGTCCCGTGCTTCCCCTCACGTGACCCTGTCAACGCTTGTCCCTTTAATCATCATTGGCAACCACTTAGGTCCCACATTACCCGAACATGACCCTCTCTGTTCCCATTACGTTAATTAGTAACCATGGTCCCGGTGAGCCGTACTGTCCCTACATCACCCCGTACTGTCCTTACAATTGTATTAGTTTTGTTTACATGAAGTTACCTGAGTAACGCTCTGCATTTGTATCAGATATTACATAGTGAATAAATTGCACGATGTCAGTGTCGTGCAACGATGGTGACTGGATTGAGAGTCAAGCTTCCTATCCATATAAAAACATAATTCACCACAAATATATACTGAGCCACCAAACTTGATGAACGGACATAAAGCTGTTACTGTACGTAGAGTTATTCTTTGGTTTTTTCGGTAAAGTCACGTATAAAAATAAAATAATAAATTAAATAATAGCATACGACGTTTTGATTGCAACACAAGCAATCATCATCAGGTATAATGAAATAGCGACATAGAATATAACCAGAAAACTATAGACAGACATATAAGCAGACAGATATCACCAAGATACATAGAGAGAGCAACCCAGGTACAGAGAGAGGTGATCGTCTCTGTGGGGTGGCCTTAAATAGACAGAGGGGGGCGGAGGCAGAGAGAGGGAGGGGGTAGGGAAAACATTTACATGTCAATGAGTACGAAGGGAGGGGAGTAAGGTAAGCAGGCTTAGAGGGAGACAGAACACACTAAATTAAATAACCTAGCAAAGTATCGAAATGTTATGTAAAACGACACAGAGAGTCGGTCAACACACAATTAACGCATTGCCTGGTCGATTACGTATTTCAAAGATTGCTAAGTTAGAATTTAAGTGTGAAAATTCCAAAGAAAGACAAAACATAAAAAAGAGGAACGGAGACACACAGACAGAGCAGAACCTAAGAACGATACAAAACGAGTGTAGACAGAGAAAATTACACTAAATATACAGGCAGAGAGAGAGAACAAGAAACCCAGAGAGAGAGAAAAAGGTAAACTTGGAACTTCCCCGTAGAAGTGGTTCAATCTTAATTTTGGAGCTTTCGTGACTGCAGGAATTATTCTTTGGTTTTTTCGGTAAAGTCACGTATAAAAATAAAATAATAAATTAAATAATAGCATACGACGTTTCGATTGCAACACAAGCAATCATCATCAGGTATAATGAAATAGCGACATAGAATATAACCAGAAAACTATAGACAGACATATAAGCAGACAGATATCACCAAGATACATAGAGAGAGCAACCCAGGTACAGAGAGAGGTGATCGTCTCTGTGGGGTGGCCTTAAATAGACAGAGGGGGGCGGAGGCAGAGAGAGGGAGGGGGTAGGGAAAACATTTACATGTCAATGAGTACGAAGGGAGGGGAGTAAGGTAAGCAGGCTTAGAGGGAGACAGAACACACTAAATTAAATAACCTAGCAAAGTATCGAAATGTTATGTAAAACGACACAGAGAGTCGGTCAACACACAATTAACGCATTGCCTGGTCGATTACGTATTTCAAAGATTGCTAAGTTAGAATTTAAGTGTGAAAATTCCAAAGAAAGACAAAACATAAAAAAGAGGAACGGAGACACACAGACAGAGCAGAACCTAAGAACGATACAAAACGAGTGTAGACAGAGAAAATTACACTAAATATACAGGCAGAGAGAGAGAACAAGAAACCCAGAGAGAGAGAAAAAGGTAAACTTGGAACTTCCCCGTAGAAGTGGTTCAATCTTAATTTTGGAGCTTTCGTGACTGCAGGAATTATTCTTTGGTTTTTTCGGTAAAGTCACGTATAAAAATAAAATAATAAATTAAATAATAGCATACGACGTTTCGATTGCAACACAAGCAATCATCATCAGGTATAATGAAATAGCGACATAGAATATAACCAGAAAACTATAGACAGACATATAAGCAGACAGATATCACCAAGATACATAGAGAGAGCAACCCAGGTACAGAGAGAGGTGATCGTCTCTGTGGGGTGGCCTTAAATAGACAGAGGGGGGCGGAGGCAGAGAGAGGGAGGGGGTAGGGAAAACATTTACATGTCAATGAGTACGAAGGGAGGGGAGTAAGGTAAGCAGGCTTAGAGGGAGACAGAACACACTAAATTAAATAACCTAGCAAAGTATCGAAATGTTATGTAAAACGACACAGAGAGTCAGGTCAACACACAATTAACGCATTGCCTGGTCGATTACGTATTTCAAAGATTGCTAAGTTAGAATTTAAGTGTGAAAATTCCAAAGAAAGACAAAACATAAAAAAGAGGAACGGAGACACACAGACAGAGCAGAACCTAAGAACGATACAAAACGAGTGTAGACAGAGAAAATTACACTAAATATACAGGCAGAGAGAGAGAACAAGAAACCCAGAGAGAGAGAAAAAGGTAAACTTGGAACTTCCCCGTAGAAGTGGTTCAATCTTAATTTTGGAGCTTTCGTGACTGCAGGAATTATTCTTTGGTTTTTTCGGTAAAGTCACGTATAAAAATAAAATAATAAATTAAATAATAGCATACGACGTTTCGATTGCAACACAAGCAATCATCATCAGGTATAATGAAATAGCGACATAGAATATAACCAGAAAACTATAGACAGACATATAAGCAGACAGATATCACCAAGATACATAGAGAGAGCAACCCAGGTACAGAGAGAGGTGATCGTCTCTGTGGGGTGGCCTTAAATAGACAGAGGGGGGCGGAGGCAGAGAGAGGGAGGGGGTAGGGAAAACATTTACATGTCAATGAGTACGAAGGGAGGGGAGTAAGGTAAGCAGGCTTAGAGGGAGACAGAACACACTAAATTAAATAACCTAGCAAAGTATCGAAACGTTATGTAAAACGACACAGAGAGTCGGTCAACACACAATTAACGCATTGCCTGGTCGATTACGTATTTCAAAGATTGCTAAGTTAGAATTTAAGTGTGAAAATTTCAAAGAAAGACAAAACATAAAAAAGAGGAACGGAGACACACAGACAGAGCAGAACCTAAGAACGATACAAAACGAGTGTAGACAGAGAAAATTACACTAAATATACAGGCAGAGAGAAAATACAAGAAACCCAGAGAGAGAGAAAAAGGTAAACTTGGAACTTCCCCGTAGAAGTGGTTCAATCTTAATTTTGGAGCTTTCGTGACTGCAGGAATTAAACCAAAGAATAATTCCTGCAGTCACGAAAGCTCCAAAATTAAGATTGAACCACTTCTACGGGGAAGTTCCAAGTTTACCTTTTTCTCTCTCTCTGGGTTTCTTGTTCTCTCTCTCTGCCTGTATATTTAGTGTAATTTTCTCTGTCTACACTCGTTTTGTATCGTTCTTAGGTTCTGCTCTGTCTGTGTGTCTCCGTTCCTCTTTTTTATGTTTTGTCTTTCTTTGGAATTTTCACACTTAAATTCTAACTTAGCAATCTTTGAAATACGTAATCGACCAGGCAATGCGTTAATTGTGTGTTGACCGACTCTCTGTGTCGTTTTACATAACATTTCGATACTTTGCTAGGTTATTTAATTTAGTGTGTTCTGTCTCCCTCTAAGCCTGCTTACCTTACTCCCCTCCCTTCGTACTCATTGACATGTAAATGTTTTCCCTACCCCCTCCCTCTCTCTGCCTCCGCCCCCCTCTGTCTATTTAAGGCCACCCCACAGAGACGATCACCTCTCTCTGTACCTGGGTTGCTCTCTCTATGTATCTTGGTGATATCTGTCTGCTTATATGTCTGTCTATAGTTTTCTGGTTATATTCTATGTCGCTATTTCATTATACCTGATGATGATTGCTTGTGTTGCAATCGAAACGTCGTATGCTATTATTTAATTTATTATTTTATTTTTATACGTGACTTCACCGAAAAAACCAAAGAATAATTCCTGCAGTCACGAAAGCTCCAAAATTAAGATTGAACCACTTCTACGGGGAAGTTCCAAGTTTACCTTTTTCTCTCTCTCTGGGTTTCTTGTTCTCTCTCTCTGCCTGTATATTTAGTGTAATTTTCTCTGTCTACACTCGTTTTGTATCGTTCTTAGGTTCTGCTCTGTCTGTGTGTCTCCGTTCCTCTTTTTTATGTTTTGTCTTTCTTTGGAATTTTCACACTTAAATTCTAACTTAGCAATCTTTGAAATACGTAATCGACCAGGCAATGCGTTAATTGTGTGTTGACCGACTCTCTGTGTCGTTTTACATAACATTTCGATACTTTGCTAGGTTATTTAATTTAGTGTGTTCTGTCTCCCTCTAAGCCTGCTTACCTTACTCCCCTCCCTTCGTACTCATTGACATGTAAATGTTTTCCCTACCCCCTCCCTCTCTCTGCCTCCGCCCCCCTCTGTCTATTTAAGGCCACCCCACAGAGACGATCACCTCTCTCTGTACCTGGGTTGCTCTCTCTATGTATCTTGGTGATATCTGTCTGCTTATATGTCTGTCTATAGTTTTCTGGTTATATTCTATGTCGCTATTTCATTATACCTGATGATGATTGCTTGTGTTGCAATCGAAACGTCGTATGCTATTATTTAATTTATTATTTTATTTTTATACGTGACTTTACCGAAAAAACCAAAGAATAATTCCTGCAGTCACGAAAGCTCCAAAATTAAGATTGTACGTAGAGTTTTGTCAGCATTTTTATCATTTAAATGGTGTACCTCAGCTGCTGTAAACTTCTCTCGTGGGCCTCCACTGATCCACACACGAGCTCCCAAAAGCTTCTCCTCCGACACCTCATCCTTCAAGCTGAGCCATCACAAGAGAGTCAAATGGACACAGAATTCATAGGATCAAATGACCATACATGCTCACACCTGCCAAGGTAATATGCTGTGCTTTGTAGGTGTTCGGATTATTCATATTTAATCATTTACATTTTTATAAGGTTTGGAGTGATTGGAAATGATTCTTCCACAAAAAATCGTATGAATGAAATTACATGGTCATGAATAAACACGTTTTAGACGATGCTATGCTATGGAAAATCCTTACATATATTACGAGACTACTCTAGGAAATCAAACCATCAACTCAGTATAAACTTGCCAGGTGGTGAAAAGGCAGGTGACAGCAAGGTGTTTCATGCTATTGCATAACCTTATAATCAATACCACCAGCTCTTGTGATGTGCATACGTATGTTACTAGGCAAGCTGCTTGCTAAATTAATGCGTGTGGTGTACACACTGGGCTCGTTAGGTGGCATCTGTTTTCAAAACATCATGTGTCAACATTTATTAGTGTTCAGTGTCATGCATACCAACAAAAAATAAAACAGACACCTTCAAAGTGACCACACAAGTTCAGGCAGGAATAAGGTAGTCAAAAACAGCTGTCCACTTCCACTAAGGGGGTCTGAAATATTTAGCCTGGTGCACAATAGCTCAGCAATTTAGAATTGGCTGGATTAGAACACGTGGAAATCTCTGCGCTTATTGTAGAAATAATTGATTGCGTTAAAGTCTGGCAATTTTCGAGAATTAAATATGCGTATGTCCGAACATCTAAATAACCTTAAGAAATACCTCTTATTTCCAATTGTGTAGGAATTACTATATTTCCATCCTGCACTGCGAAGGAATCTGATGCACACATTGGTTTATTTACAAATGTGTAAGTACTCTCACTATTTATTATAAATATTGCTGTTTCATGATTCTTTTAACTTTACCTACTAGTAAGACATGATCTATTGCCTTGTGAAGTATTTCAATGGCTTGATTGAAAGTTATATACTGTATATTGTATTAACATTACTACATAGATTGGTTACATTTTTTAAACATATTTGCACATAGCATTTTGACATTTCGTTAAATGTAAAGAGATACGTTGTTTAATTATATTTTGCTGATATACTACATCAGTTTTACATGGAAGAAAATTAACCCCTAGAGTTTGGATCTCTCAATTGACTCCATATCCACCTCAACCCCTGGCACACAAATACCATAAGTAAATATACTTGTTACATTTTTTGCTACAAAAAACACTATCAGTTTGATTATTAGCCCTTAAGCAATGGAAATACACACAAATTATGACATAATTAAACCAGCATGACAAGCCGTGCTATAAGGAAGACTGTGATCAGTTCTAATGAACAAGGAGTGGGTCTGAAAAAGGAAAAGATGGGGCCTGATAAAGTAGAGGTGGGGCCTAATAAAGTAGGGGTGGGGCCTAATAAAGGGATGGGGCCTACAGAGGACTTCAGAACTTCGCTGTTGATTTAAGGCAGGGGTGGGGAACCTTTTTCTGCCAAGGGACATTTGGATATTTATAACATAATTCGCGGGCCATACAAAATTATCAACTTAAAAATTAGCCCGTTATATTTCGTCAAACATTTAATTAACTCACCCCTAATGTGATGGCTGGAACTGCTTCTCTTTGGTGAGGCGTGTGATGTTAGCTGGTATTGATGATGTTGCTATTCACAACTGCTTTTCTAGGTTTGCTCCTAGATTTATTGAATTTCGAGTCCCGCCTGTGGTTACCTTGGCAGGGCCAGACCAAATGATTTCACGGGCCTTATACAGCCCGCGGGCCGGACATTCCCCACCCCTGATTTAAGGTAATAAGGCCATCGAATCCAATATGTACAGCAGGTAGCACATACCTTTAATGTCATAAATGTAGCCAAATTCCACAAATTTTCTTTCAATACATGTGACAACACTATGACTAACTGACCACATTATAATTTAGTGACTAAAATAACCTATTTTATTCAGGTTGCCACAGGGACAGTTTTCACAATTGAAAACTAAGTGAGCCCCCATCGTGAAGTATAATTGCTTTGGCAAAATATACCTAATGTAACTGTAGTTTTAGTCGTAGTTTTTACAAGCTAGGTAACATTCAAATTTGAGATTTTGGCGATTACACTGATTCACAGTGACTGGCTCTTACATGTGATATCACAATCTTTGAGGTCAGCTTTACTGTTAGCATGGCATTCTGTAAAATTTCCACTGCATCAATGACACTGCAGACTTAGTTGCTAGTATACTTACTACTTGACTATTCAATGAAATGCCCTTCATTTAAAGAGGTGAGATTCAATTGGGATGCAAATACTTTGTCATTTTGCCAAACAGTAATGGAGCAAATGGTTTTACAGTCATGCTGACATTTTAAAAAGGTACAGAAATCACTGCATTCTAAATAAAACCACATGAACATTATACAAAGCTGTATATGTTCATTTGATGGGGATGTTTGAAAACACTGTTGTTAGACCCTTTTGTCACTGAATGCACATATAGAACATGGCATGGTGCATTTTTCTATATGTGTTTACATAACAGGATTAGACATGGGTTGCCTTTCCTTAAGTTTATTTTTATAGTCATATGAGGCACGTCTGATAAATAAATAAATATATGGGGTCCCAGTCGGTAGTGACTGCTTACTGAAAATTTCCAGTGTTTACAATCTTTGCAATATATGACGTTGGTAAATACGATTGTTTGTTTGTACTTTAAAAGTTTTTTAAAAACTTGGCATTTTAAAAATGCATAGGTGTGCTGTATTGTACAAAAACATGCAGTAGGTAGTGACTCCTTACTGAAATGTTCCAGCGTTTATTATCTTGCAACATGCGTTGGCAAATTAGATAGTTTGTTGAAACATTTTAAAATGACTGTTTTATATAACAAAAAAATTATATTATAATGTACTTTTTAACATAAGGCGTTTGATAGTGAGTTTTTTTAGAAAATAGATTAAGTTTTTAATGGTCTGATTTTTTTAAGTATGCTTATATCCAAGTAAATTATTTGTAAATCTATTTTACAGCCAGTTTACTCCAGATCTAATCATACATCCATTGTGCAAAGTGGATCTGTGGTCTGGCCCACTCACCAGAAAATCCACGTGACTACAAGTACTTATAACTAGTTAAAGTGTCGTGTTCATTACGTTTGTATCTTCCAGTTGGTTCGCAGTCGCTTCTGCAGCGTTTTGTAGCCCGAGTTGGCAGAGAAGAGTTCCCTTTTTGAGGCATTGAAGATAACAGTGTTGCGTTGCTCCTTGCTTTCAGTGGCCTGAATAGTGCAAACACACACAGACTCCATCAGCGACATTGGTATATTGCATGTGTCTCACACGCAACTGCTGTCACCAATGACACTATGTTACTGAATTCAACAGTTACTAAACTGCTTGTAAATACCAGGCTAATTCAGATTCAAGGGTGGGATGCCCTCATATATCCATTTTACTAACAACACCTTTATTTCAATAAAGATCAAATCTTTACCATTTACAACTTTAAATTTTTTAAATAGTAAAACCCGATTTTAAAGCAACTATGGTTTCACCACCAAATATCACAAGCCATTTCTAGAACGAAAAACGCTATTGAGGTTACTTTATATAGAAATCCAATAAGCCGCACTCCAATAATCCCTGCAATTCGCAGATTTATGGCGGTTTGTGACAGCTCCCGTAATTCGCAGCACACTGCGGCAGATTAAAAACAGTTTAACACATACGCTTTAGCGACCAATATCATCCAAAATACAGGTTTTTTTGGGTTAGATCGCGTATATATAAATGTGTCGTTAAACCCGCCACCACCCGACACAGCCAATTAGTAAGGTTTAATACGTAATAATTGTTTCCCTTCTACGTGACTTTACCGAAAGAACCAAGAATATGAATCCCTGCAGTCACGAAAGCTTTAAATCAAAGGCTTAATACATTGTTTAAATGCATGCCTATACAGGTCACCATACATCAATGGAGATGACCTGTGTGCATACAATAACAAGTACTATTTTATCGCACACAAACGACAGGAGGTACAAGAACAATGTGCATAATAGAGGTTTTTTGGTTAGATCGCGTAAATATATAAATGTGTAGTTAAAACCCACCCGACACAACCAATTAGTAATGTTGGTCACGTAAACAGAACATGCCATTTCGTTACTAGTACAACACACCGGTGTGTTGGAGAGCAAATCCACAATATTTACAATCGGAGTACGACGTTTCGCCAGTAATTATAACTAGCACCATCAGGCGGACAGCCATATTTGTGTAGAAATCGTCATGTTTTGTAAAAGAAAAACCTGTATTATGGACCTTAAACCGAATTGGTGACTTCACAAGACTTCTAAGTATGTACTTTACATTTTCTTAGTTCTAATAAAAATTGTACTTTTTTATTATTTTATTATTTCTCTTCTACGTGACTTTACCGAAAGAAACAATAATATGAATCCATGCAGTCACGAAAGCTTTAAATCGAAAAAATAGATGTACTTTACATTAAACTTCTTTCACACCGTACGTAGCCAGCCGTGCTAATCGGAGGCGCGGGGCAAGACCAATAAATTAAACAAACTAAACAAAAAATCAGATAATGACGCCATGACCGTAACTTTATATTTTAAAATAACATGTTTTTATCATTTTTGTATGTGCGTTGAATTTCTTTCGCACCGTACGTAGCCACCTCACGCACGAACCCCCTCAAAGCTGTGCCGGATAGCCTCTAGTGCACACAAGCGATGGGCTGAATGCGCAGCATAAGAACAGAAACCTTGTATTGTGTTAATAATGTGTTCTCTTTCTTGTAATAGTTAAGTGTTTATATCACAAATTGCACTCGGCCGCGCACCGTTCCGAGGCCCACTGTGCAGCTTCACCGGACTTATTCCACAAACGAAACTTCAACATAAACGTTCGCCGTGAGAACACATGTTCGGCATTGTTAGCATTATTATAGTTAGATGTTAATGTTCGTTTATCGTTACACTTCTGCTTCTTTATGACATTCCCCCACCTGAACGCCGCTCGGAGCCATGTTCATGTCTGACGCGCCCGCAGCCCTTGTCACAAATCCTACTACGAATAAGCATGGCAAGCCAAAGCCGCGCTTGTGATTGGTCGGTGTTCGCGCGAGAGACGTTCAAAGCAGCGCGTGATTGGTTACAATCGCCACCGAGTTCCAATATTAGCCAATCGCATGCGCGGATAGTTCGGCTTCTGCTAATGTAGGCTATGAAATACGGTATGTTTGTCGCTTAGCAACAGCGTACATAAAAAAATCAAGCGGTCACCACGGTAACTCATGAATATTCATTACGGTATAGAGTTTAAGCCAATTACTGAATAAAGTATAAGCTGTAAAGCGTATATATTATGTATGTGCAATGAAGAAGGCTCATTACCCGAAACGTCGCTTATAAAAATGTTTATGTCATTCGTCGTCTGCGTAACCGCTGAGCCATTGTTGGCAAAGGTCACAAATATTAATTTGCTGACCAGATTCTGCAGCAAATTAATATTCATTTAGTACCACATGCCTTATCGTGGCTTTTCCATCCAATTTGCTGTAAAGTAGCAGGCGTCAATTCTTACTGTGCTCTGTTAGAATGCATTCATTACATTTCATGAGCTTGTTGTCCTAATTAAACATTAATGCCATGATTTGAGACGCAAAACGCCAATCTAAAAGCACCCATCACCAACATATTAAGCCACGGTCATTCCACTGCTGTATGAAAGCACCCATGCCAGACGTATGATATATCTCAGAGTACAATACCAGAAGGCTAAATAATAATATGGTCATTTTGGCTCGAAATTATGTTTCATGTTATCTGAAATAAGATTATTTGGCAAAAATGCAATTCCATTATCTGTTGGATAAGTGGGCTCAGGAGACATGTCTAGAAGGCATAATTGCCCCTCGATTGTCTAGCCACCCTCAGCAAAAAAAACATTGCCGCTTAATAATGAACACTTTGCATATAACCAATTCATCAAGCTTACAGAATCAATTTCAATTACACATCCAAAACACAGTAAATGTTTTGTGCCATGTAGCAGTGTGTTTTATGCTCTAAATATGGTCGCGAACATCTATATCTAAATCAGCTGAAGCTTCCTGTAAATGAAGTAAATTGTGCATCACTACCCTCACTCAGAACCATTCCCCTCTGCCCGCCGTCCTGTGAAAAAAGACGCTGCTCTGTAATCCATTCCTATCATCTTTTACTGACCCCTGGGTCCCGTTTTTCCGTTCCTACTCTACGAGTTTCCTCTTACTTCCCATTCTTTCTCTTATCTCCTTCTTTTCCTGTTCCTTTTTTTCTTTTTCCATACATTGTATCCTGACTCTACTCCCATTCCCGTGGTATGCAACCGGTATAACCAATGGACATTACTCTCATTTACAGAGTGGGTGGAAAAAATCAGAACTTCAGAAATGTTACGAACATGACGAAGCCATTCAGTCCATCTCGGTCGTTAGGGCAGGAAACCACAAACAAACTGGAAGACAGCCAGCAAATGGTGCCAAAAATTGGCAGTAGAGAAATAATTGGTATGTACTGTATAATCGCCAATGAGTAATTTTCATGTGATTTGTTTTACATTGGGAAAATAATTCAGGAAAATTGTGAATACCGTCACAACATATGCAGTATTAATCATGGTTGGCATTAGATTCAAACCATGAACCTGTGCGACAAGCGGCAAACGCACTAGCGCTAGGAATCTCAGAGATGGCTCTGTTATAGCCACTTCAGTGTGCCGTCTCACGGCCTGATGCCAATTGCACAATCGGGATAAAATTGGGGGAAAATTGTAATGTAAATGCAAAAAATATATACTCTCTGAGTCTGCTATGAAGTAGACAGAGACCCCAAAGTAGACAGTGTCATAATCTTCAAGAGTACACAAATGAACCTTATGGCGGTACCCCGGGGGTTACCATAGTGCCCCGGCTCTCGCATCATGTCCATGATGCAGTCATTTTTAGTCTTTTGATGGTCGGCGATGCGGCAATCGACTCATCTCGACGAGCTGTACACGATGCACTCTTCAAAGTATAATTTTTTGATAACGGATTTTTTTATGCTAATGTTTGGCACTGATTTTGGATTGATTGGTACCCCAGTCGCGGAGTTAAGTAGACCCCTGGAAAAAATAGTGTCCCAGAAATACTATATTTAATTGCCTTGGCCATTTTGTATTATTTGGTACCCCGGGTTACCGCCATCAGAATACAATTATCCATTAATATATACTGCATACTTATTAACAGATTTTTTTTTTAAATGCCATGGGTCTTCATTGTGTGCTCATTAAAAATATAATGAATAACCAAACCAATTAACTCCATTTGCCAAGCTTGGAAGGTCCTACATTTGCCAAAACTGCCCGCAAGCCATTCATTGTTAGGTGAGTGATGAATGAATTACCAATTAATCCACACAAAGTTGATGAAGAGACACTGAATTTGGGTTTGTGTTGCCTACATGCACGCCATGGGGCGACATTTTGAATGTGAAAGCAGTTAGCTGCAGGCTTGCAAAATAATTCCATCATGAATAACAGATAAACATTCACTCTCGCAACAGCCACTATTGAGGACATGCTGCAGTGTGGATAGCCTTTGTGTGTGATGCTTGTGGACGAGGAGGGATGGTCTGGATTACAGCCGTTTATTGTGCTGTGGACTGACACATTCTGTCCTCCCAGTGCGGGGTTTATTTATGGCATATTGGCAAACACAGTAAATGACCGTACCTCACACCATGCTGGTCAATGCAGGTTGATCCATAATACAGGTGTTTTTGGGTTAGATCGCGTAAATATAAACCCGCCACTACCCACCACAACCTTACCAATTGGCTGTGTCGGTGGTGGCAGGTTTAAAGACAGTTATATTTACGCGATCTAAGCCGAAATACCTGTTATGAATGACAAAATCCTTCTTCACCCGTAAAAATATATACTGTCTTCCATTAAAGAGGTTGTTTTGGGTTAGATCGTGTAAATTTATAAATGTGTCATTAAAACCCGCCACCACCCGACACAGCCAACTAGTCAGGGTTGTCACGTAAACAGAACGTGACCAATTCGTCACTAGTACAGCACACCGGTGTGTTGGAGAGCCAAGCCACAACATTTACAATCTGAGTACGACGTTTCGCCAGTAATTCCAACTAGCTTCATCAGGCGACAGCCAGATTTGTGGAGAAGTATTACTGAGTCAACGTACATTATAATCCGTCCTGTTTTCCCAACAACATTTTCCACACGTGCTGTTTATCCTGTACACACCTTCTGTTGATACCTTCGGTAATACATCTTTTGTATTAGAGATACATTTTGTATTTTATGTACCGTGCCAAATCTGACACGGATGTTTTGTTTTTTCAAACATCTGGCTAGTTTATCAGTTACTCCCGCAATGTACGTTATTTGATTTGGTTTTGACATTCAATGCCCTGTTGATTTGTGCATCATTGTAACCGTTCATTTGCAGTGTGTGTGTAAAATGTTATGTTGGGCAAACAGGAGGAATGATCCACATGAGACTAAAATAATATCAGAGAAATATTGAATTCTCCCGAATACAGCAGTAGCAGAACACGCGTGCCAACAAGGACACTAAATTTATTTTAATAATGTTGAAGTTCTGTGCAAGATTAGCTACTACTGGCCAAGACTAATTAGAGAATCTATCGAAATTAAAAGAAAAAAAATCATTGTAACCTTTCAGAAAGCTACCACCTTAGTGCTACATGGACGCGAATCATCAAAGAACCCATTATTGAAATGCATGCCTATGAAGGGCACCATACTTCAATAGGGATTACCGTTGGTACGGCTATTTTAATACACACAATAGACAGAAAAGCCAAGATCAAAGGGCTCGCATAATGCGCATGCATAATGAACGTTGACTCATTAATCCCCCCCCCCCCCCCACTTTGTGCAAGAGCACAGAAGCGTGATCACCACATCTATATAAGGAACGAAACAGGTGGACTTCTCCACATATCTGGCTGTCGCCTGATGAAGCTAGTTGTAATTACTGGCAAAACGTCGTACTCAGATTGTAAATGTTGGGGCTTGGCTCTCCAACACGAATTGGCATGTTCTGTTTACTAGTTGGCTGTAAAACCTATATATTGGTCGCGAAAGCCTACGTGTTTAACATACTGTCTTCCAGTTCATAAACCAATGGGCCTTCATGGCTAATGTTCTATAAGGGAAAACTGAATCAGTTTCACACTTCTCAGTTTCATCAGCAGAATCAGGCCTATTAAACTGCTGTTATATGGCCACATTTTTATTTAAAGCTTTTGTGACTGCAGGGATTCATATTCTTGGTTCTTTCGGTAACGTCACGTAGAAGGGAAATAATAAAATATTTTAAAATAATAACGTCACGTAGAAGGGAAATACATTTTTTTTTTAATTGTTTCCCTTCTACGTGACTTTACCGAAAGAACCAAGAAGATCACGTAGAACACTTTTCACCTCTGTGTGTCTTTTTTATGCTGGGTACACACTTCGAATTATCATTTTTTAAAAATGTAAAGCTCATACCTGGGGTCACACCTGGTCCTATATCTGTCTAATTGAGCATCAGCTACAGTAGCTTTCTCACTGTTAATACATCCCTTATGGCTCTGCTCCTCTCTCATGTAATTTTACCCAACCCTCAGCAAATACTGGCTTTTCTCTCAACATCCTCAATCTCTTTCACCCCTCCACTGATACTTTTAAAGCTTTAAACTGACTGCCCTTTTTTCTATCGAGGCTAAATATCTATGTTAGCTTCGTTGTAAATGTGTATTTGTGTTTATGCTTCATTTCTATTAACCTTTTATATTCTTTGGGTCTTTCGGTAAAGTCACGTAGATAGAAAAAATAATAACAAAAAAATATTATTATTTAACTTTTATATAATAATAAAATATTATTTTATTATTCTTTTTTTCTATATATAATAATAAAATATTATTTTATTATTCTTTTTTCTATCTACGTGACTTTACCGAAAGACCCAAAGAATATGAATTCCTGCTGTCACGAAAGCTTTAAGTCAAGAATTCACTTTTTATTTACAATGTACCATAAA